CTCAACCTGGAGCTGGGCTGCTGTGAGTTGCCAGCGACGGCGTAGGCTGCAGCCCCTGCTGCAGTGGGTTGCCATGGGCTACCGTGTGTAGCCAGCAGCCAGCGTGAGCGGCAAGCAGCCTCTGTGGGCGGCCGTCCAGAAGCCGGCGACTGATGTGCCTTGCCCGGGAAGAGTGCTATGATGGTGCCAACTTGGGCCAGTGAAGCAACGTCCTCCACAACTAGACTGAAGAACAAAAGGACAGCAACTTCTCTGTTCCCCTTCCCCTAATTCCCCAGGGCCATTCCCATCCCAATTCCCCAATAAAAATATTTGAAAAACACAAAACACAAACAAACAAACGAACAAAATAGATACAGGTGCAAAAGCAAAAAATGACTGGGTGTGGAGGCTGTGGTTGTGTGATTGGGGTTGGTTTTGAGTTCTTGTGGCTGGGGTTGTGGTGGTAACAGTCAACTTTTGGCCCTTGAGTGTCTCTGAAGGGCAGGCCTGGTGTTAACCTTCCCCTTCCCCACAGGGCTCCTGTCTGGGCGCTCCCCCAGCCCATATTTGGCTGCTGGGGCGCCTGGTATTTTCCAGCACACAATGTTTAGCATCTTAACAGAGGCCCAAAGGAGAGTTAGGATGTGTCTAGCTCAGATTGCCTTACTCTGAGCTGAACAGGGTCTTAGGAAACTGCCTACATTACACAGTCCTATCATTCAAATGAAACATGAAACCTGAGCCCTGAGAGTCAAACCTGGTCGCCAAGGACACCCCAGCCTAGGGAGAAGCCAACGGCATTAGCCTGGGTGGCTCCAGGCTGTTCTGCAGCTTGGATCAGCCCTTCCCCCAGGCCCACAGCACCACCCACCTCTCCCCTTTCAGAAGCCCCAGCCAGGCCCCCTGAAGAAGCAGTATTCCCTATGCTTACCTTGGGGTTCACTCTGCTGTGGCAACAGAATGCAACTTCCCAGGGTTCTGAGAAATAACTTTCCTGAGTGTCACCAGCTGCAGACGGCCCTGTCATAAACTGTCCTGCTCTAAGCCGCCTAGGGCATTTATCCCCACCCTCTTAGCTACTCATTACCCAGCTTAATTAGGCCAGGAAATTCTCAGCAGAGGACACTCTCGGCAGGAGGTGAGGCTGGAGGAGAGATTCTCAGCAGCTCCACTTCCTGAGCTGGGGGCTGGGGAAGCCTGGAGAAGGACTGCCAGAGATGGCAGGGCTGTGTCCTCCAGCAAACAGCTGCTGGGAAAGAGGCCGAGATGCGCACATTTGCCCCTCAGGCCCTCCAGGGAGCTGAGGGTTGCACTTGTTTACAGAACAGCACCGGATCTGAAAGCTTGGAAGTGCCTGCCCACCGCCACCCTCACCCTTCCTTCTCAATTAACCACCTTCACCACCCCACCCCCACGTTCTCCTAGGGAAGAAGTTGCACCCTCATTAACCACTTATAGTATTTCAGCCCAGTATCTGACATAATCGCAGCCAAAGACACCGTCTCCCATTTTCAGCTAGCCCCTGACCTTCACCCTGAACTGCTTTGGTCATAGTGTGGCCAGCCAGAACTCCCCAGAAACAGTGTGGCAAAGTTCTTCTGAGGTTGATTCGGTTTGCTGCCCTAAAACTGTGTGCTTCATCCATTTTTCTGAGATTTCTGCCGCAGTGGTGGTGAAGGGGAGTAGCACTGTCTCGGGGTTAATAGCGTGGGATTTAGAATCTCAAGCCCAGCTCTGCTGTTGACGAATTCTGCGACCTTGGATAAGCTATTTCATCTTTCTGAGCCTCAGTTTCCTTAGTTTCAAAAATAGAGATACTAATATCCACCTCTTGGGAGGTTGAGCTAATCTATGTACATTCTTATACCAGAAGCAGGTGAACATTCAGGAAGAAGCAGCTGACATCACCAATGTCAGGATAAAGGTTAGGGGGCTTTGCCTCTGAGCCAGTGAGGAAGTCTGAAGGTACCGACTTCCGCTAACCCCACGTTTCTTTGAGGGAACCTTAAGAACAGGGAAAACTAATATTGATTAGCTCCCACGGTCTATTGGGGGCATTCGTGCTTACAGTATTTCGCTTAAGCATTAAATTATCTGTTGAGGCTTTGGGATACAAATGAGTAAACTGAGGCTGGAGAGTGTGGGTAATAGCTAGTAGATCATGCAATTGGGCTGTAGGCAGCTTACTGGGTCTGGAAATGTCAGAACAACACCAGCCTGGAATGAGGAAGCGACCTGAATCTTAGGCACCACGTGTGGTTCGTCCCCTCCAACAGGAGATTGCAAAATGTCAGAATGTCATCTAGAAATGACTGTCTGGGGTCGCAAACTCTCCTCCTGTGGGACACACATTCACTGACCTTTAAGCTCTGGAATCATTTGGTTCAGTAGTTCCTGGATTATGGTTTTATGCCTTGTTGCTTTCACTGTATCAATGTTTTCTGAGAAATATGTACATTTCTTGAGAAGTGACCTTATTTTCCTCACCTGTAGGAAGACAAAAGTGATTCTTGGTTCTCGACTATCCAATAGTGCTGTGACACAGAAGTTTCATCAGGAACTGAAAAGTGCTCTCCCATTCCACCAAGAAAAAATAAAAATTTTCCACAGTGGGGTGATGGTGGTATTTGTGTATGTGAGGAGGATGGGGGCACCTCCTATTCAATCCAGACAGGGCATAGTCCACTCACCCAGGCCCCTCCCTAGAGAACCCCTGTGGCCTGGTTCTCCCAGGTCCCCAAGAAACCTGCCTTTCCTCCTCATCTATCCTAGGAACTGTATCTCGGCCTCCCAACACTCCTGCCCACTAGTTTCGGGGGCCATTGGTCATGGCGCTCTTGGACTTAACTTGGCTGGTAAGATGGTTCTCATTTGAAATCCATTAAATCAAAGGAAGTTTCTGGCTGAGCAGCCAGAGGCACAAAAATGTTGGCACCCTAACCCTTGAGGGTCCCCGGCTTTGTCACTCTCTCTACTTGTGTCTTGAGATAAGTGAATTCAGGGGTAAAAACAAACCATCGGCTATCCAGGATGCTGGAAAGGCTGTCAGACAGAACTTCTGTGTGGCTCCAGGGAACAAAACTTGAGTGAAGTTTCATGGAGGCAGTGCAGGCTTAACATACAGAAGTCTCCAACCTTGGGAGTTGTCAGTGCATCACCCTATCTGGCTAAGGAAGCGAGGTCCAGATGGTGCTGTGCAGGTTGGGCTACAGGTGAAGGACAGCCTGTGCCCAGAGCAAGGTGCAGGCTTCCAGCAGGCTTATCTTTACAAGGGTGCTATGAAGCAGGCCTGAAAAGGTGGAGGTGGGAGAAAGGAGCTCCTGACAGCATCGGGAGCCCAGTTCTGACACATAGGAATTTCTCAACAATATTTGGGGCATCTTTAAGGCCATGTACCATTTAGTCTATACCCACCCCTTCCACCCATTGGGCGGCCTCTTCTTCCCACACAGGAGCAGGAGTGGGAGATGCATCATCCAGCCCGCGCAGCTCGGGGCAACATCTGCTGCTGCCATTGTTTCTCCTTATTTCGGTGGTTCGACAGAGGGGGCGGGGAGCTCAGCAAAATCTCACCCCCAAAGAGCAGTTTGGAATACCCTCCTTCGAGGTAAATGGGAATAGCTGGAAACTCCCCTTGGCCTCTGAGAGGTTTTCAGGGTGTCATTCCCATAGGGCGGGGCCTGCTGCTGGTGGGATGGAGGGGAGGGAGTAGGGGTTACATTCAACCTCCTGGGCAACACCCCTCATTTGTTCTCAGGCTCCCCTGAGCCTGGCAAAGCCACCTGGCTGGTGGATAGATACAGTCACCTGTGTTCCTCCATCCCCTCTGGGTGTGCCCTTGTGCCGCTTCTACCACCCAGGCTTGCAGCAAAGCACCCTGAGTCTTGGGTGTAGGCTGACATTTGTCTCACCAAACAGCTAAATGCCAGGCCAAGGGAACTGAATTACACATACCACTGGGGCCACCTGGGCTGTGGGTTCAAGCATTCAGCTGCTGATCTGCTTAAGAAATGCAGCCAGCACCTTCCTGGCAACCCCACGACTGAACATCAACTTTCAAATGCCAGTTTGGGATAGAATAAATCACAGGAAGACTCAGCTAGCTTCATCATTTAATCATTCTGGAGATCCTGTGTTGAGGATGTGTTTGCAAGCAGTTGGGACGGGCAGGCCCCTGCCCAGGTGGTGTGTGCAGCCTGATGGAGCATGAAGACTGAAGGCAGTAAGCCCAAATGCAGCTATAATGATGAACATGGGGCTCAATAAGAGTAAGTAGAAGCAGGATCACAGTAAATGAGATTGGAGAGGGTCAGGGATGGTGGCTCTGAGGAAATGGCATTTAAGCCGAGATAAGCAGACGTTAGACAGGACTGGCTCCATTTACAGGTGGCTTTCAGAGCTCAAGTTCTAAGACAATATGAGGCTACCTGTTCCAGAACTCAAGTAGGGTCTAACTCAGAGTTCTAGGTCTGGTCTTCCTAATGGTCCATTGAACTGACCAGCAGTCCTTAATTTTCCCAAGGACCAAGCTATCGCCCTTACGCACAGGGGTAAGAGGAGATGTGAGTGTTGTACATGTTTTGAGCTCTACAGACAAGACCTAACATATTGTTATTATGAGTTACAACATGTTATTTCTAGTTTTTATCTACTCTATGAAAAGAAGAGCCTTCTCAGAGTGATTGCAGGTCCCCTCCCTGCTCAGCAGTCACTTCTTATTCCCACACTCTGGATTCCTTCATTCCCTTCTCGTGGAGGGACTTGCAAATCTAAGTGACTCCTGTTTCTGCTGCTTCTCCTTCCATGTCATCTTTATCAGAACTTTTGGTGACTTTTTCTTTTTTTTAACAAGTAAATAAACAATGAAAATAGGAACAAATCACAACGCCTCCTCACCTCTTCTCCTTTCACTCCCTTTGCCCCACCCCAGCCCATCACCACTATCCACAATTTGGGGTGCATGTCCCACATGTCGCCCCTCTCAGACATACATGCATAGACACTGGACTCAAACTCTCGTTCTGATTTACCTTCCAGTATACGTGCTAATCTCTCTTGTTTTTAGCTGCTTCACAGTGTGACTTAGTCTGGTGTCATGATTTGTTTCACTGTTTCCTTACTGATGAATATTTGGGTACACCCCCCCCCCATTTTTTTTGCTATTACACATTTGGTGACTTCTTTACAAGGTGGATTGGATTTCAGATATATTTACTTTTTAGAAAATCCTTAACAGAGCAAGATGAAGAATCCAACATTGATAATACTGTATTTGTTTTTCTTTGATTTAAGCCATATCTTTCGAATCATGGCCCATTTGTACCTTTGCCAGGCAATGCCATGCTGCAATGACCTTAGCCTCCAAGCCCAGCACCTCCCTCCCAAGTCCCCATCCACGATTGTTCTGGTCCTGGTGAACTGTGATGGTGAGTCATTTCCCCCTGAAAAGCCTGCCCCTGTCTCTGGTGGACCAGGCTTACCACTTCTGGCTTGCCTGTGCCTCCCTCCCACAGTGGGGTGGCCACCACCCCACACCCCAGTTCTTCGTTTTCTCAGGAGCCCTCTGAACAAAGAGCTGGCTAGCCCTCAGGTTCCTCTGACCATTACCCCTCCAGCCTCCTCGCCCCTGTCAGTATGCTGTCTGTGCCTATCTGCTTCTGTTACAGCTTTCTCTGTCTGCCCAACCTATTTGTCCACATACACGTCTTCATTGTCTTCTCTGAACCTTGAATTCTGAGGGAGCTTCCAGTGCCTCCTCCCTCCGGGGCTCTCCACTCTGCTGACTTTCTTTTCCTCAATATCTCAGAGCCTTTTGTTTCCCTGGCGACTCCTCCCTCTGGGTTTTGCCCCCATCTCTCTCCCCTGGTGGTTTCTAAAGTACAGCAGCAGCCAGCCCTCCTAGTGATCTCTTTTCCAAACACTGAACTCTGTAGCCAGGTTGTGTAACACAAGGTGAAGGAGAAGATTGGCAATTATCTAATGAGCACACACAATGCAGACAGCCAATTA